CATTATGGCTGTTCTACACAGCTAGTTTTCATTTCTTTGAGCAGAAACATAATTGTATTATACGTCTCTGCTTCTTGGTCAAGGGTTTATGCATCTCTCTGTGTCAAAATTTTATTTCATGTTTAGGTCAGGTAACTGTTTCTGTCAATCTAATTAAAATATGGAACTCGGATTTCGTTATATTACATACGAGTGTATTATAACGAAATCAGAGTTCTATATTTTAATTAGATTGCTGTTTCTCTGTTACTTTAAGTAATGATGTCAAAGTATTTGTGTTCGCCTAACAGAAGTTCCCCTGGAAACTTTGTTATAAACAATGCCATAATGTCTGTTCCTATTGGAGCACATATTCTATTCCCTTTATTACGTAAGGAACAAATTCTGTAATATTTGTTGCAGTAAAAATAATATTTCAAAATATTTCTTCCGTTTGGAACTTATGTTATTAACTTTTATTTCATGACAATCCGTACATTGAATCATATGTGTCTGGCATGACTGTGACCTCATTTTTACGATCATTGGTTACTTTAATATATATATACATTGTAGTAAGGTCTTTATCTCAACTACGTTCAATATATTATTAAGTCAATCAATTAAGCAGATGAGAAATTTCAGCATTCATTTGCTTGTTTGAATGAGTATTGCATAACTAATCAGATATAAACAGCAGCCTGTGACGAAATTTTCAATGATGTTTAACTTCAATATAATAAGTCAAATAATGACAGACAAAACAATGCTTAAAAATTCGAACACAATTGTTCACAAAACTGAAGATTGAGCAACACAAATCCCACCAAAATCTGGTATGAACCAGTGGCGGATCCAGAAATTTTCTTAAGAGGGGGCCCACTGACTGCTTAAGAGGGGGCCCGCTCCAGTCATGCTTCAGTGATTCCCTATATAATCAACCAAATTTTTCCCACAAAAGGGGGGGAACGGGCTTCATAAAAAACCCTCTAAATCCGCCTCTGTGAACTCACGTGTTCTGGTAGAGTCAACAGTTCGCGGCAGTAATTGTTAAACCATAACACAGTAGCGAATTGGAAATGGCTTGTCTAATTCCTTGACATTCGAACTGCCTCATATTTAAGCTATTGGTAAATGTAGGTTATTCTACCTTTATTTGAGACCGAATGTGAAAGTTTGAAATGAAAAAATTTCAGGACAAACTTCAAAGAATAGACAAGTAGAAACAGCACAGGCAATGAAAAATTATATGCAATACAAATAAATACAGAGGAACTATTTAAGCAATAGCAACACGAACCCCTTAACAACAACAGTGAGATCAACATCAACACCTTTTATCTATATGAATATTTGTCATTTATTTTTATACAGAAACTTTCAGTCTGGTTTATTATCACAGGCACTTGTCTCAGAAAAAAAATTTCCTATATACATTAATATAACATATATATTATATTAAGGTATATAGGGGAAAAAAGTTCTGAGACAAGTGCCTGTGTTTATTATCTGTAAAAACAGGCATTCTGAGAGTATTGCATGGCAATACATTGTCCCCTACCGGTTAAAAAATCATTGTACTGGAACAATATGCTAACTTGATCTATAACTTGTCATGGTGTAAACTATATAACAAATATCAAGTCAATATCTTCAAGCATGACGAAAAAAAGTGTGGAGAACTTATTATTTAAGTGAATTTTTAAGTCCAAGGACCATAGCTCTGCACAAAATTATCATAACGGAAATTCAAACTTGATCTGTAACTTGTCATGATAAAACTATATACCAATTATCAAATCCATAACTTCAAGTGACGAAAAAAAGTGAGGAAAACTGATTATTTGAGTGAATTTTCTAAGACCAAACACCATAACTCTGCACAAAATCATCAGACCGGAACAAAATTCGAACTTGATCTGTAACTTGTCATGACAAAACTATATACCAATTATCAAATCAATCTCTTCAAGCATGACGAAAAAAAGTGAGTAAAACTGATTATTTAAGTGAATTTTCTAAGTCCAAGGACCATAAATCTGCACAAAAGAACAAAATTCGAACTTGATCTGGAACTTGTCATGATAAAACTATATACCAATTATCAAATCAATTTCTTCAAGCATGACAAAAAAAGAGGAAAACTGATCATTTGAGTGAATTTTCTAAGTCCAATGACTATAACTCTGCACAAAATCATCAGACCGGAACAAAATTCGAACTTGATCTGTAACTTGTCATGATAAAACTATATACCAATTATCAAATCAATATCTTCAAGCATGACGAAAAAAGTGAGGAAAACTGATTATTTGAGTGAATTTTCAAAGTCCAAGGAGAGACAGACAGACAGACGGAGTGCAAACCTAAAGTCCCCTTCGACATCGTCGGTAGGAGACTAAAAACAGGCAGATAAGATACTATGGGGACAATCAAATCATCACAAGTCGAAGAAAAACAGACAATAACATGGTGTGATCTCAGGTGCTTAAGGATAGTCAACAAAATAATGATCTATTATTCAGTTTTTCGAAAAAGAGAAATAAGATACCAGGGGACATTCAAAACTCATAAGTCGAAGAAATAGCCATGGCAAAAGAAAAAACGGAAAACGACACTACATAGTAAGATCAAGATTGAGCAACACGAACCCCACCAAAAACAGGGGCTGAAGTCAGTTGTTCCGGAAGGGTAATATCGAAGCAATTTAAGGTTCTGTTTAACCACTACTTTCCCGCAAAACTTTAGTAAGGAATGATAAGACAGTCTTATATCCAACAATTAATTCTTTGCGATAGGTTAATTGACTTTGACTTATCTTTAATCATTGTTAATGTTATTCACACTGTATTTGGTCTGTATTGTAGTGTTTCTACAAATGTAATCTTAATATGTTCAGTGGGGAATCTAGTGAAAAAAATTATCAGCCCTTGCAAACATTGACATATGGAACTCTTCATTGTTTGGTTAATATGTTCTCCGCATGCATGGCCATGGACACTATTGATTAATATGATTTCGCCACAAAAAAATCTAGTAAATATAGTGATAATGAAAACAAATTTAGACATAACAGAATTACCACATAATAATATCATTAACAGTCCTTTAATATTGTAAACATTAACAACATTAAGGCATGTTTGTTTGTGTCCTATATTGGAAGCACCAAGTTTATTATTCCTCAGTACGTTATTCATGTATGCAACTATCATAAGCCGGGGAAGAGAATTATTAAGGTCCTACTATATATCAAAATCATTGGTTGAATATCATTAGGTTTAATCTGTATTGTTTGTATATGTTAATACAATTGAATAGTGATTGATTTTTCTTTTCACAAACCCACAAAAAGCGTTATCCCATCCTCATGAGCATGACAGATAGATTTCTTCAATTACATGTATCACAAATAGGAGACTTCCAGACAGTATTACAACGCTAGTTCAAAATACGGTTCCGACTTACGGGAACTGGACAACTCCAATGACTTACATTCATTATTCAGGCTTCCAGTCAACAGATACATGCAAATTCGGAGAAAAAAAACACCTACCGTTTAAATAGAAATGCAAGTATTTCGCAATGGACTTTTAAGGATTGTGTACCCTTTTCTTACTTCAGTGCTAAACATAAGGAAATTTTACAGACTTGAAATCCACAGCCTTTCCCTTGTACTCTAATATTTCACAATTAAGTACCTATACTAAACAGGATTACTGCATGCAACACTGTCATGATGATTTCCTAAAACCAAGTTTTTAAATAAAGATATGATTTTAGTTAAAACATGTACAAATATGGACCTATACAAGTACACCTTCAAGCAAGTGAGCCTAATCTATGTATAAAATTTTATAACGAAAATCTCTGTAATTCTATGGATTTTCTGTCAAAAATCCTGGCTTGATTTGCCACAAAATTCCCAATTTCCATTAAATACCGTTGAATGAAAAAAAAGCTATGATAAATATTGCTGCTGTGAACGACGTTTCCCTTTTGTATATGTACACGTTTTTGGTATCATTGCACTTTGAACATTTCTTTATACACAGGCCTACAGAAATGGGTCACAAACCTCAGTAAGTAAAATAGTAGCCCTTGTCTATAGGAAAGATTTGATCTAATGTATATTAATCATTTCAGTAATCTGGGTATAATATACTGTTTACTTATTCTCTTCCCAGCAGTAACTAGTGAAAATAACACTTTATCATGGTGTACCTGAAGCGCTTTTCTGGATTTAGTTCCATCGGGAACGCTCAAGCACAAATATTCTAAATCCATGGATGTATAAATACTTGAATACTTCAGGACTTGGCAAAAAATAAAAAATAACCAACACTAATCTGGAGTCAATTTTGCTAGAGGTATTTGGAACCTTACAGTAGTATGTAAATAATTTCTAAATTTAACCAAGGACGTATATATATTGGTTAAAAAACCGACTAAGCCGGTTAGTATAGAGTCCCAGTGTATATGCATATATGGATTTACCTTCACTTCTGTGGATGTCGTATGAAATAGGAATGTTGAAGGATAAATAAGAGTTTAGAGACCTATAGTGGCTTAGGGAGCTACCATTTGATTTTTATGGGGGGGGGGGGGGGGGGCTAGGATGAAATTTGAAAAAAAGGCAGGACAGGAGTTTTGAGTGAAAAAAAGGCAGGATGAGCAACTTGGCAAAATAAAAAGGCAGGATGACAATTTATGTAAAAAAAGTCAGGATAAACTAATAAAAAAAAGGCAGGACCGAAAAGAGTGAAAAATAAAAAAGCAGGACACAGATTACAACTAAAAAAAAATGCAGGACAAAATTTTTCATCCTAGCCCCCCATAAAAATCAAATGGTAGCTCCCTTACGATAGACAAGATATGTAAATTCAAAGCTTTATATGCAATTTTCGTTTCTTTTAAATCTGAGATAGTGATGCAACATTGAATATATGGCGGTGTCCCGTAGTAGGAAAGATATGCGCATTCGCTAACAAACAGATTGACGTTTCTCTCCCCATAAACATTGTCGTCCCATCCTTTTTTGGTTTCTGTCACCTTGCATCGCTGTTGTTTACATTATTTGTAGGTACAATTGCTGCTTTAAAGATCTTAGCCATACAACAGAAACATAAAATATTGTTTGTTCTCTGCGTTTATTTCACAGGAACTTTGAAACCTTAAAAATATGTTTGTTTGCAGTTTTCCGACTGTATCCTACCGTAGTCTATAATCGGTCATAATGTTGGTTCGTTCGGATTTTGTTATTGTACTTATCACACGGGAAAACTCCGCAATGACGTCACTACGCTAATACCAGCGTACAAAATTAGTGCAGAATACATTTTTTCTACACTTCTAAATAAACATTTCTAAAGATATTTTTCATTGTTATTCTAAAGCATTGTACAAAAATGCCAATTTTCTAATGGCCGTATCAAACCTGACTTCTGAATGCCTAAAAACATTCCAGAACTTCAGAAATCCCCTCTTCCTGCCTCCATTGCTTTGTTTACATTCCATTTAGGTCATCAATCTTAATGGCAGACCAAACAGGCCAAGCAAATCGTATTTTTAAGAATTTCAAAATGGCAAGCACCTTACGTCTTACGCAATTTTCCCGCGAAAAAAACCCATCCAAATTGAAAGAAAAATTTTGGGAAACAAACGATAATCATGCCATATTTTTGTTCAGGAATATAGAGTAGGTTAATAAAAAAACAAATTATATACATATATTTTTCATAAAAAAAAATTGGTTCAATATAAAGAGAGCGATATTCTGACCATAAGTAAATATTCATATAAAATTCCATTGATATCGAATTTCATGGCTAGTAATGAGGTTTCCTATTGAATAAACCCCCAATTTATTGCAAACTATTTCAAAGCAATATCATACAAACAAATAATATAATTGCCTTGTACTAAAAAATCACCTAATTGACAGTAGAGCAATTTGATTGGATATAACGATTCAATGTGTCACGTGGTTTTGAAGCCATTAGAATTTGAATGTAAACAAACCTGGTCAGCTGCTGCAGTATGGAACAACATCGTACATTCAGTGACTGAGAAACAATTATGAGTAACCAAGCTTGACAATACACAGTAATAAAAAAACAAAGCTAAGTCTACAGAAAAATAAAATAAAAAATGGCCTTAAGTGCACGACTTACCACCATTGCGGGATACCTTCAGACTGAAGGGTCGGTAGGTAGGAAAAATATTTTATTTTATCAGCCAAAATGAAGTTTAAACAAGCAGTTACACAAACCAAGTTTCTTGTGAAGAAATTTTTTTTAAAACAAACACTGAAAACCAACATGAAATGAACAGGCATTTTCAGATAAAAACTTTTCAACCAAAATTGAAACTATAACATGGTGTGATTATCCAATTTATGACATTATTAAATACTAGTACTGGAACACTTATAAGATCTTATAAACAAGGAATGACTAGAATTGTTTTAAAGAAATTGTTCACTGACATATGCTTCTTTACTAGAAAGTTTTCATGAGTAGAGTATTTTCATTAGGAAAATGTAGATATCAAAGACTCATAAGACAGTGTAAGAGTGTTATCAATAAAAAAAATTAACCATTGAATCTTTCTCAATTAAAAAAAAAAGAAACTTGAAAAAATGTATTTGACATCTGACTGTTTTCATAAATCTAACAATATTTAATTATATGTAATAAGGTAATATTTTGAAAGATATGTTGATGTGATCAGGCTTTAATTAAAACCAAAAAAAATCTTAGACTTCAGGGTGAAATCAATAGCACCCCTTTAAAAGTAAATGGTCTGTACTGAAATGTTTTGACTGCATAAAAAATTGGCAGCATAGCTCCTAAGGACATATTTAAATTCAATTCACACAAGCCACACTGTTTGGGTATATTTAATATTGTAAGAGGGAGAAGAATTGCAATGAGTGGGGTAGCTCCCCTTATCCTAAAGGAGTATACTCATTGCAATAGAAGATAGATTTAACATATAGAAAGTATATTTATTTTTACAAGCCAACCATTCATTTTCTTTACATCTTTGTGTAGTTTCTGTGGCTTCTTATAGATTTGGCATTGTCTATCGATTATAAATTTCAAATGCGCCCTTCCTGGCATGTTTACAGGTATCCATGAAGTCATGGAGAAGTGGTTTCATCCTTGTTGTCTTCACAACGTTTTATAGAAACTATGGCATACTTCAGGCTGCTGTCAAATTGTTTAACCACTGATATTGGTTCCATAAAGTCAGGCTCAAGAGATTCTGTACCCGATCTGTTTTAGATGGAAACGGTTATCGTGTCGGTTTTATGAATATCCGCTGCATCATGCGTTCTCAAATCGTCAATGATATCTGTCTGAATCTGTATAAACAGTTTACTATTAAACTTTTTTTGTTGTTATTTGTTTTAAAAATGACAGAAAGCGACAGCGCAAAGTACTCCTCCATGTCTTCATCGATACCTGTAAACAATCTCCATGTGCTTTATTATTAAACGGTCCTATGTACGCTTGACAAGAAGGTAAGAAAAACCGAACTTGAAACGTGTAATCGACCCAGACTTTAAATCAATTCTGGAAACGACCAGAAGTTCCGGATTGCGTCAATAGAAAAATGAAAATAATTTCTTCAAATTAAAAGCAATAAAATTTTCACAGTCGGGCGGATTTTCGAGGGTCGGTCGGTAAACTGCAAACAAACAATATTTTAATTTAAGCCTAATAAAAATGTTTATTTTTTGTTGAAGTTTGAATCAAGTTCTAACTCTTTTGGCGGATTTAAAAACATTTTTGAAACAAGGCTAAAAGCCTAAAATAAATAAATATAAAATATACTTACTGGACAGTAAAAAGCGAAAACTTGACAATATCATCACTTCATCCGATGGATTGTATTCTGTTGTCATGGTTGTGAACAAAGCAAAAACAATAGCCAGGAAACCAATGCAGAGAAAATTTTGATTTTGTCTTGACCAAAGTATCAACCAAAGTGCCTAACACTTGTAGAATATTATAAAAGCTAGGATATCATAAAAAATATTTTAATTAAAGTATGTTTTATATATATGCTAATATTCATTGGAGATAACTTAATATTATAGAAGGGAGGCAACTCTACATTCATCATGTTCATAGAATTATAGAAATAATAATTCTTAATTATTAGTTCTGCATTTTGTAAAGTAATTTTAATATTCTCTGGTATATTTTATTAGCTTTATTGTATTTAGTGTAGTTCTGTGGTTTATTTTTGGTGTTCTGTGGTAAGCTGAAAATGTTCAAATCTCAAATTATGACTAGACAACTCTCAGTAATAGATCCTTCTCTAAATAACCTTTCAAAGGCCACAGAAGGAACGCAAATGGTATAAATAAACAACCTACACCCAACAGAAATATGCACCAAATACATGTACATGTATATATATGTGACTGACTTTATTATAAATGTAAAATTATATCAGAAGATTTTAGAATTTTTTCTCAGGATCTTATCTCAGGGGATTCTCATATTTTCCTGCTCTCTTTAATGATATTTTTTTAATTTTCATCAGCATGATCATAATTCAATATTTTTATTTATCTTTAACACTATTTTTTTGAAAAAATTGCTGTATTAATATTATTCCAATTTCAGAGACGATGAGGTTATAGAAACAAGAATTGACATGGCCAAACTTTTTTTGTTTCAAAGCTTTCCTTGGAATGCTATACAAAAGATAAGTCTCTTAAAAACAATTCACAGACAATTGGGCTTGCTGTCTCATTCAAAACTGCAAAAATTTCAAAACAGTCTACAAAAAAGACCATGGAGGCACAATATAGATAATGGAAAGGTTCAAAGGTTTTCCAGTAGTGCCACTAATGATATATTAGAAAATGATAATATCCTGAAACAACTTTTTAATGGAATAATTAATTGTGAAAGAGGAAGCTTGGCAAGGGGAATAACTCTGATAGAGTCCTCTCATCCAAAGAAGAAACAACAAGCTAAGATATTATTGAACAGCATTCTACAGTACAGTACAGAAAAACAGAAATCTGGACAACCTAAAAAATTGTCTTTCAGAATAGGTAGAACAAAATTTATATTACACTACTTCAATAGAAACAACATGATTATATTAATCATTTCTATTTTACTCAGATCAAAATACAGATTTAAAAGATGATGTCTATTAAATTAAGCTCCCTCTGACAGTTTATACAGTCAATGATTTCAAAATTACTACATTTTTCTGACTAAGAAAAGACCTGTTACTTTTGGTACCATGTGAGCTTGTTGTTGACATGGCAACCAACCTTCCTCTATCCATCCTTTTCATTTTGAATTCCTTCAAGCAGTACCAAATGCAAACACTCTAATATGTCTGATATTTATGGAAATAACCAAATTTAATTTGTTCACTCTTCTGTGAATGTTAAAAGAAAAGGACAGGAAAAAAAGCAACATTCTTTGAACCAACTTATTTTTATGCCCCGTCGTAGGCAACAGGGGCATTAAGTGTTACCCTTGACTGTCCTTCCGTCCATCCGTCTTTATGTTTGTCCGTCCATCCCATTTTCGTTTCCGCACTCTTCCATAAGTTTGCCTCATGCAAATTTTATGAAACTCATACACAATGCTAAGAACCAAAACTTGCAAACAGAGATCTAAGTTGGACAGTAAGTCACCTACTGTTCTAGAGTTATGCCCCTTTATAACTTGGAAAATTGCAAATGATTACATTTCCGCACTCTGACTTAAGTTTTCTCATCTAAATTTTATGAAACTCATACACAATGCAAAGAACCAAAACTCACAGATAGAGTTCAAATGTGGGCAGTGAGTCAGTTATGGTTCCAGAGTTATGCCTCTTTATAACTTAGAAAATTTCAATTTTTTTTTCGTTTCTGCACTCTAACTTAAGTTTTCCTCATCTTAATTTTATGAAGCTCATACACAATGCTAAAAACCACAACACACAGACAGAGTTCGAATTTGGGTTGTGAGTCATTTACTGTTCTAGAGCTATGCCCTTTTTAACTTGAAAAATTGCAATGCTTGAGCAGGGACATTCATGTCCTCAGACACATTCTTCTTTTATTATTCAACTTTTTTCGAGTAGAAAATAATAAAAATTTATTTGCTCATGATTATGCCAAAATTGGATCTCTTCTTATAAACATTTGTATATACATCAACAAAGTTCAGAAATCGTGAAAATAAATCTGCTCATTGTTGAAGGCAGAAAGGTGACCTATAGTTGCTATCAACATCATTTAGTGTCTTGTTGTTAGGAGTCTCAGGCAATCATACCACATCTAACTTTTGTAAAGTAGGATATAAAAGGCTAAACACAAAAGATAGGCTAGCATCAACAACATGAACAAAGAATAATTGGTTTACGGTATATACATATATACAGCGTGTACAAATTAAATATGATAGATTTTGTTTCTCATTCACTAAAATTGAAAAGGTAAACATTGGAAAATAATTATATCAACAAATTAAACAAAATTCATTTCCAATTACACATACATAATCGCTTTGTATCACATTTACAATATATCATGTGATGATCTCTGCAGAGATGTCTGTGAACTAAAATTGTGAACAAAAATATAACTGAATAATTCTAGTTTCCTATCTCTTCAATGTAAATTAAGTCTCTTGTTTTGTATTTTTATATTTATTAAAGGTTTATCAGGACCACCAGGAGCTGGTAAAAGTACATTTATAGAAACATTTGGTAAATTCCTGACCACTAGAGATAACAAAGTGGCTGTGTTAGCTGTAGATCCATCATCAGCAACTACTGGAGGTTACGTATGTAATACAGTCAAAAACAAAATTCAATGTGAAAATATAATGGGAACAGGAAAAAAGCCATAATCAACCCCCACTCCTACTTCAAAAAGCCCAAAGATAAAAACCACAGACAAAAGACCTCCAGACTCCCTGACCTGAGCTCTTTTTAAAAACGTATGTAGAAGTTTCATGTTGAATAAAATATTTCTTGTATAAAATTTATGTTTTATTTTTTTCATGAATCATACTTAAGCTTTTAGCTGGTTTATTAAGTGAAATCCAAAACCACTTTCAAAATATTGGTTTTCTTTTTTTAAATCTTCAATTGGAAAAATGTTGTCAAAAAAGAAAATGATGTTACCAGGTCTCATTTGATGTGGCTGCAAGAATGCTTAGTCTGATATTTTTGTAACCTTGTAATTCAGTCTTCTATTTAACATATTTCAATTGCTCATGAATGTAAACTAAAAAAGAATTATATATTCAGCTTAACTATGAATAAGAAGAGAAATAGCATATTTACAATCTGCACCAAAATATTTTGGTGAACTGAAAATGTAGAAGAAGGTTTTATAAGACTAACCAATTTTTAAATAGTAAAATAAAAGAGGTGAAAATGCTCTTTGATCTAAACTGAAGACATTTTCCACTTTACAGCTTTCAAATTGGTTTAAGTTCTTTGCCCATGTTTCAGGAGTGCAGTAAACTATAAATACACATGTACATGTTGGTATGTCCTGACTTCAAATAAAGGGTCAAAGATCATTTCATTTTTACCATTGAAATTGATAGCAGTTTATTTGCATCTTATTGGCCATAATTTGTCAGTAATCCATGTAAAAATTTTGAATTCAAGACAACCATAAAAATATGATTATTAGATTTATTTATTACAGGTTCCTTGCTGGGAGACAAAACTAGAATGTTTGAACTTTCTAGAGATTGGAATGCCTTCATACGACCTTCACCTTCGAGGGGTACATTAGGTGGTGTTACCAGGACAACTAATGAAGCCATTCTATTGTGTGAGGCAGCAGGATATAATATCATCTTGATTGAAACAATTGGTAAACATCCAGATCTTTAAATTTTTAAAGATCTTAAACAAATCCTTAAACTGTCTATAAATTTATATTTTAAAGATTGTATGCTACCCCAGCATATTGTTGAAAAATGAATCTTACAAATACATAATATTGTCTTGAAGACAAAAGTATCCATGACTTGAGATTGTAACTTTTACTGAATACAAACACATAAAACAAATACTACTTGCAATTGTATTTTCAAAACAAAATTAAAAAAATCTAAAAGTAGAAAGGAATGTTTGCACATTCCTGCTGATATTTAAAATTTGTTATGCTCCTTAAAAAAGTTTTAAGAGCATATGGTTATCACTTTGTGTGTCAGACTGTCATTGCGTCGAAACAAATGGTTTCCAAATAGAAAGTTGAGTTTCCCTTACATAATTGGAATGAAATTTATATAGATAGAGGACATAGAAAAGGAAATAACCTATATATTTTGGGGTCAATAGATCAAAGTTCAAGGTCACTAACTAAAATTAATTATTTTTTGAAAATTTATTTGATACAGGATGGAAACTTTAGTTTCTTATGCCTAATTGGAAAGAAACATATATATATGGAAGATATAGGGAAGGGGGAGAACAGTTATAAATTAAGCCAAGTTCAAGGTCACTGTTTCTAAAATAATACTTTTGGAAAACATTGGTTCCCTTGGAATGTAACTTATATTTTTAGGTAACAAAACTTTCCACTTGTTTTTGTGAGTGTATAATGAAATGACAAATGAAAGGATTCACACTTAAAGTATTTATTTTATATAAAATATTATGGATTTTTTTCCCTGCAATATGTGTCTCTTTGCATTTTGGAAGGCATTATTTCTGCAGAAAACTGTCTGAGTATACAGTACTACCTGAAATGGCAGATCTGTTCTGCTTGATAACACACTCTTTCTATTTATAGGTGTTGGTCAGTCTGAGTATGCTGTAGCTGATATGGTAGATCTGTTTTGTCTGCTGATGCCCCCAGCTGGGGGAGATGAACTTCAAGGTAAGGTATAAACTAAGGCTACTGTCTTTTGGAAAACTAAGGCCACTGTCTTTTGGAAAATGCGTTTAATTTCCAGTTTCTATTACTGATCATCTACTGTTAAACTGACCTTGACATCACTAAGTCAATATCATATGTTGAATAAAAATGTTAAAAATTTATAAAATACAGAAAAACCATACAAATCAACCTTAGATTGTGTTTTTTCATGAGGAAAGCAACAGTTTTGTCTGTAGAATAATGGAAATTAAAATTATAATACTGTTCGATGTGAAATAAGGTACAAAAACCTTTAAACACTGAAAAGAATTTGAAAAAAAGAAAACATTTAAATCAACCTTCCATCGTCTTAATTTCAAGAGGAAACTCTATTTTAGTTTATTTTGCCCTGTAAAATAATGGAAAAGAATTTGTGATTGCTTAATTGTGAAATTTTAGACAATATAGAGTGCATTTGTTTCTAATCTGAAATTTTGTCATCAATGACTATCGTTAAGTAAACGTTAAGCTGCTATAAACAAATACATCTTTTAATGACCTTTATCGACCACGCGTAGTAAGACAAAAAATAGATTACATACACGCACTGTAAACAAACAGGTAAAAGTGAGGGAAAAGAATGACCAGGAGTTTGCGAAAACAACACATGCTTGTTATTATTTAAACGACAGATGCAGAAACAAATGTGTCGTTTATACGTTTCAACGATAAACGATCAACGACAACGCGACTATTTTGTGCGTACATCGTTTATGTGAACGTTGTCAATGTTGACCAAAAAATGTAAGAAACAAATGGATTAAACGGCTTATTTAATTTATCATAATTGTATGTTTTTAATAGGTATTAAGAAAGGAATTGTTGAAGTAGCTGACTTAGTTATTATCAATAAAAGTGATGGTGAACTGGTACCTGCAGCAAGAAGAATACAGGCGGAATATATTAGTGCTCTTAAATATTCAAGACGGAGATCAAAATTCTGGAAACCAGAGGTAAACATTTCCTTTTATCTTATATTTTTATGCAATGGTTCTAAATTAGCTATGGGTAATGTTTTTAGATCTTAATACAGATAAAAAGAAGACAGTGATGGATTTGTGCAGGCTAAATTACTAATCTAAGGAAGGAGCCTGTCATTGATGCAAGATCATCCTGTTTAAGACATTATCATAATATCATAATTTTTGTCAAAAAACATGACAAATATATATAGATATTTTCATTAATGTGACAATATCATGACCTATGTGAAAAAAAATAGAATATTAGTTACTTTATTGAACATATGTTTTGCAGTAGAAGTATGGCAATTCAGAGCATCAGTTTTAAATAGAAGCAGGCATTCTAGAATTTTAAGCCAGCTAGACCTTTTTTCTTGATGATATGGAGAAATATAAAGTCTATGTTGTCTATTCAATGGACATTTTTTCTGTTTTTAAGCCTTTAACAATGCTGTGCATATATTTTATGACTATTAGATTTGTCTCCCTTAGATAAGTAAAATCTTTATGCACTTTTATTTACCTAAGTTTTGTGTTTTACAGGTTACAAGAATATCATCTGTCAACAAAGAGGGTATACCAGAGTTATGGGATTTAATGGAAAATTTTCAAACTGTCATGATGGAATCCAATGAGTTACAAAAAAAACGGCAATTACAGAAGAAAATATGGATGTGGTCTTTCATTCAAAATAATATAATGGACATGTTTAAAACTCATCCTGCTGTGCAGAACTTAATTAAAAATGTTGAAAAGGAAGTTATGAAAGGGGAGATAACTCCTGGGACTGGTGCTGACTTGCTTCTGACAAAATTTATTAAAGAAAGTTGATAATCATTTATTTGTACTAAAATATATACTTTGAGCGTTCCTGATGAAGTTAAATCCAGAAAAGCACTCTGAACGCATGAAATTTGTAACATGTTGTTTTCATTTTTTACAGCACTGGGTCGATACTTCTGCTGGTGGACTATCAGTCCCGAGGGTATCATCAGCTCAGTAGTCAGTACTTCCGTACTGACATGATTGATAACAAACCCTTCTAAAATTGTCCATTAATAAATTTTGAAATTATAAGAAACTAATGTTTCAACTAACTAGGCAAAGGTGACCTTAGATGGATTTGGCTATTTTTTTAGGTCCATTTCGGTCAAATATCTTTTCAACTGTTTCGGTTCTGATACATCCTTGGCTTTCAAATATTTGGCTTTGAGCATTCCTGATAAAGGTAAATCCAGAAAAGCGCTTTGGATGCATGAAATTTAAAACATGTTGTTTTCATATTTAATACTCGTACTCAGCATACTGATGGTTATGTTGAATCTATATATAATGGGTTTTGAATATAAATAAGAAATGTAATACTTTAAGTTAGAAATAAGTCAGTGTTTAAAATTGTAAGTTCAATCACTGGTAAAGAAATGAATGAGAAACTGTCAGTATGGTTTGTAGGGAAAAGAAATTATAATTTTTATATTTTAAAGTATTGCCTTTTGTTAAAAAAAAATTGAATTCAGAATTTTTTATGCTGTGCGTACAATAGGGGCATAATGTTTTTCCGGTCTGTGTCAGTCCATCTGTCAGCTAGTCTGTCAGTCCTGTATCATATCAAAGTTTTAGTTGAAGGAAGTTTGTAGTCACGTCATTTTGAAACTTATAACACATGTTCATAGATGCCAAATTAGGATTTTGACCCATATTTAGCTGTTCACTGATGATGGAGAGGTGATAGTGCGAGTGGAACTTAGTGTCCTATATATTGACACATATTCTTGTTGTTTGTTCATTTACTGGAAGCTGTGATTTACATAACAATAAACCAAAGGAGAAATTCTGAATTTCACACTGGAGAAATTAACCATTTTTATTTTTGTATTGCCAATTGACGATAGTTTGGTTGTTTATATGTTTGCCTTTTTTTCTAGTTTGTAAAAAAGACATATCAGAAAAGATACAATAACTAAAAACAAATTTCTGTTAAAATTCTTTTTTTTATTAGACAATATTATAAATTGATAAATTCAATTTGTTAACCCTAGTTTAAGTTATGACCTATATCGTCTCATCTATTGCTGTTCCTAATATCAAGGTTGTGGTGCACAGGTCAAGGTCACCTGAAAGTTTTGGTTGCAAGGGGTGATCTGTTTTGCAGTGTTCTTGTTTTGATGTATGAACTATTTAACAAAGTTGTTAGAAAGGGAAGTTTATTAGCAATTCATGGATCATTGACAGAACATTCCAGTGTTTTGTTGTCAGAAGTTTCACTTTTTCTGCTCTAAAGTTTTCTTTCAAACTACTTTGATGTGAAATTGTAAGCAATTACTTCTGTCTGAAAACAATTTTCATCAATATTTATAAAGTTTTTTAAGCAGATTTAATGCCTTTGATAGAATATATAGCAAATACTTCAGAGATGGCTCCTTACATACTTTCATGGAAATCAAACTTATCAAAGAAGCCATGCAAAGATGAAATATAAAAATGTTCTACAAATTTATAAACCTTTAAAATGGTAAATTGATATTTACACTCAATACTGTATGTAAGTTTTTCTTTACAATATTTAATGAAAAATACTCATTTTGAGAGCATCTTAAATCCAACCTTTACTGGAAGAATTTAATGTTTACTGATTATCAAATTATATTTTAATAAGATAATGAAAAAAAATTTGGATACAAATATGACTTATTTGTATATTTAAGTATTATTTATTTGTAAATCAATTCAATACAGATATAATGACATAAACTAACTAGCCAAAATCATATAAATTAACTTTGCCTGAAGGAGTTGAAACCTTAGTTTCTACAATCTTGTAATTATAATAAAACTATTGAACATTACTCAGTTTAAGTTTTATGATTTTTTATTTTTCAAGAAAGTTTATGGATTTATAGAAGAATAGAAGAAATTCCATAGAATAAATGGTCATAGTGTTCAATATTTCATCAAAATGATTAATTTGAAATTCAAAAATATGGATACATAAGTGCATGCTTAGTTTTATCTTGATCAGTATATAATTTTTAAAAAAAAGATTTTATACAAGTTACTTCAATAAAAGTTATTATTTTTAGTTATTACAAATGTTTGAAATCTGAAGTATAAGTGATTACCATGCATTGTAAACTGCTCAAATTTTATATTATTTTGAATACTATGAAGTGAACAAACAACCAATGTCATTTAAAATTACCAATCTAAGTGACAAATAACAAATTCTTTTCGTTACACAAGCTACACTTTAGATAATGACTGTTTCAGTCTGTCGTTGGGCTATTCCAGAAAAGAATGTATGGGAAGATCAGACACAATATGATATTTTTCTCTGTGGGTAAGAGGGGTGGAAGCAAAAACAGTTCTGTTACAAATGATAATATAAAAATTATAGGTGGTGGGTTATAAAACAAGTGTTGTCCTAAAAAGGCTTGTTAATGACCTGTGAAGGATGACTGATGATTATCTAAGTTTTGGCTTGTACATTTAATGTGTTCTTTCTTTGTAAAATAATAGCATGTGCAAATGTTCATGCTATAAACCGGAATCTATACAGCCTTTTAAGAGGAATCAGTACATTTACACTATGTTTTGTTTTTATTTTGTGATTTTGAGATATTTTGTTAAATGATTAAGATTTTTTTATAAATCTCTAAATAGAACACATGTAAACATGTAAGTTTTTGAGAAAACTAATGCTTAAATATTTTGATTAAGATAACTTGGTAAAAAGTTAATTAAAAGCTTAGATATTTAAAAAACTTTGAGTGTTTGCCTTATATCTTAAAAATATGACCGATAGATATATATATTACAAAAGAAAAAAAATTATCAGCAAGACAGAATCTATCAATACCTCTAATGGCCGAAATTGTCAGTCATCTCCTTATCAAAGTTATTGCTCTTATATGACAATTTTTACCAATTCCTTGCGTATTTGCATATTATCTTAAAAACTATAAAAGATAGGTAGACACTTTTAAGTAGAAAAAAATTCAGCAAGACAAGATCTACAAATTAGTCAGTTAGTGGACCTTTTATATGAGTTTTTGCCTTTGCATGACAGATTTTTTTACCTTTTTTTTGTGTTTTGGGCAAAAAACTTAAAAAATAGAGGGGAACTGTAAATAAACAAAAAATGAACAGCAATACAAGATCAACAGAATTTTTCTTTTTCGTTATGCATTATCATTCTAGTCTACAATTTTAGAGAGTGTCTATCATTGAAGATGCACATAGACATAGGCGAGTGCCACACACTCTTTAGAGCCTCTAGTTTTCTTTCTTCTTAATCTTATTTTTCCACAGTTTAATTATTAATTTTTTAAATATTTTACAATTGACTTTCAAACGAATTCAGTAAGTAATGAATGAATAAGCTGAAGCAATATGTCAGATATTTTTGGCCCTTTATGAAGAGGAAACAATGTTTTTGCAATACTTTGTTAATTTTTACAAGATAAACAACTACTTATAATGCAAAAATGTTTACAGAGGTAGAGGAAGGGATATTGAGATATTTTTTCTCCAATGCTGGAGATTTGGCATCCCTGTAGGGAGACTTGTCTTAAAACAGATATTTCCCATTTTTTTTAATATTTGGAGGCTCTAGAGAGACGACATGTGTCGTATAAGGAGGAGGAGCAGGATATGCTAATCCTTCTGGAGAAGTCTGGAGGTTTTTGGTGGGATTCGTGTTGCCCAGTTTTCAGTTTTTATGTAAGTTTGTCTTTTCTTCTAGTTTCGTTTTTGACAAGATTGTGTCGGTCATTCTTCGACTTATGTGTTTTGATCTCCCATTTGGTATCTTCTTTTCTTTCTTTTTTTTCTCATTAAATGTTGTAGTTGTCGTCATACTTATTAATTAAATAAAGCGTTGTTCCTCAAAAGGAGACGTTTATCACACACCTGTCTCCTGCTGACAATGTAGAGGCTGAAATAAAAAAAAAATCATTATTCTTTCCACCTGTGGAAACCTGTTAATTATATGAATATTTTTAATTTGCTTTTATCATATTGTTTATAAGAATTTGTTTAAAATGAAAAAAAAAATCAAATGCAATTTTGGGTGTTTATTAATCATTATCATTCACTGTATCTGTGAGTGTGGTAGATGTAATCTTTGAACAGTTAAATTCAACTTGAACATACACATTTTTAAAGAGTATACTTTTAAAAAAATACATCTGCATCAATAAAAAATGAAAACATCGATGAGAAAGCTGCCCAATAAGTTATCTTTCTCAGGCAACATTAACCTTTTATGAATTTTCCTTTTTGTGGATTCTGGCTTTATAGCTCTTGACGTTTCTACGTATTTGGCTTTGAAATGTTAGGTTTGAGCGTTTCGATGAAGGTAAATCATGAAAAATTCAGTGGACATACGAATTAATGAAGCGTCACCATATGTTTTTAAACAATTGAAAAATTTTATAAGCTTTAAAGCACTAAAAGTGTAGAAAATCTAAATAAATTCAAAAGAAAAAACCTTTAAATTGGTTGATTATGAAACCAAGATGTCCTGCCCTTAACGGCTTGACGGTTTCCTTGATAACTACAGTCTGGCAACGATAAAAAAGCTGTGGATACTTTAAATAACTCTAAAACAGTTGGATTTAATTTCAACATGACAGCTTGTTATGTCAGCAGATGTTTTGATACAGAAATATTCAAGAATAACAAAATTAATAGTTTCCTGTTGATTTAAATATAGGAAATAACACAATTGAAAATTAGCAACATCAAATGTATATAGCTGGTGATTCAAATGCTTCAAGTTATACATACTTAAAGACATCATTTAATATCATAAAACACATATTGGAGCATTTACCATAAAAAAGTAAAGCACCTAGACAACCTATAATAGTTTCACAGTAAAACAAGTTTGCCGTGATAAAAATGAATTTTCAAACTGTTCATGATTTATAAATTCAAGGTGTTTAAACGATATTAAGGAACATTTTTTGTCAATGATATTGCCATTATTTTTTGTTTTGTTTTATAACTTTAAAAGAAAAACGGTTCACTAGACAAACTATCAAAACCTTATTGAAATTAGCCACAATATTCCTCACAAAATGTACAATAGCCAAACAGCTTTGAAGACCTCAAAAACCTTTTGTTTTGTCGGCGCCTTTGTCAGATTCATTTTTATGTTGTTTTAATTTTTAAATAAGTTGTGTTTGTATGTCTGTAGTTTTTTGGCACCTGGATTTAAATTATTTTCACGTTTACCAATTATGTCTATTTGGGTTGGTCACCCAATTTTGTCAATATAACGGAACTATAAACAACTGTCATACAAGTGGGAGGTTTAGCTAGCTATAAAACCAGGTTTAACATGTCATTTTTTTTTTCGTTCGTTCCGTTTGTTGATATAGTCGAGCGTGTGATTTTGTCAAGTTTTATGGACTTCCCCTTTTCAAAATTCACCTTAGAGATCGGTATTTTTGTTTACACTTTTTTTCTATATTGATAAAATGCATAAATATCAGTCCAGTTCCACATTTACGTTACTAGATATTTGAACATCGTTGGCTTTCAAATTGTTGGGCTTGAGCGTTTTGATGAAGGTAATCACAGAAAAAGTGATTCGGACGTTCACAATTTAAGTGTTGTTTTATCATTTTAAAACAAGATATATAAAACACCTACCAATCAAGTATTGAAGATTTGTCAATTCTCCATTATAAATTATGAAACATATGAGCGGCTGATTGTCAGTTTGCATAAAACTAGTAGCATATTGTAAATTCGAAATTTTGTAATATTTAATTAATACAACCAATTCAACGGAATTAGTATATCATTAATCAGAACTCTGATATAACTGGAATAATTACTGCGCCCCTTTTCGGCAGTTTTCGGACTATGGAGTAGTAGTAGTGATCGGAATACTGAATTATTCAGGTAAATTCTGATGGCATTATTTGAAGTCCATATTTCCTGATATTGCTTACAGGTATCCTTTTTTTTCTCTTTCCAACTATCCCAAAAATAAAAACACAAAATACTTTCTGAATTGATAATAGTTGAAATTCGGAACACGGTTCATTGGTGTTCAAAAACTGGTCAAATATTCCGGACAGGAGCGAAGCCCGGATTTTTTAATGGGGTGCGTAATTCCAGAAAATGGAATTTATACCGCAACAAAGTTTTCTTGACGATTTAAAAACTTTAAAATGGTATAAATCGTGAAAAACATGACGGTGTTAAGAAGTGAAAGGAGTTTCGGTGTTTTTATTTAGCCTTGTGCAGCACCCACAATTTGGCAAATAATTTTCAATAAATCAAATTGCTATTAAGATATTGGATTATACCGAGATGTAGATTGCCGTAGCCAAATTTAACACAGGTTTTTGGATATTTTGATTTTCTATTTTCTTCAACTTCTCACTTGATCTGACCTTCCAATTGTTTTCATTAAAGAGCCACGTACTGGTGTGTCTTTCATAGACTAAACTCGCGTCTGGTCTACTGTATATATATATATATATAGTGTCCGATATGGAATATAAATAAATGTAATTGTATTAAAATAGGGATAATTACTTCAAACACAGAGAAAAAGACGAGGATATACTTATATGATTCAGCTATCTGGACCATCTGCTGTTATTGTTTGTCTAATTTACACGTCAATAATTTTTTAGGGGGTGATTCCTTAATTCAAATTACATATAGTTTTTGGAGTGATACGAAATTTTTCAATTCACATTCCATTGGGATGGTGTAATTTTCTTTCACACACAGTCAATTTTGCTGTCACCATGTGTATTACATTCACAGTGTTATTTTGTGACGTCATCACGTCAACGATTGTGTGAATGCGATGAAGTTGCGAGTTATGTGTCGATTTCAATTGCTTTTTATCAGCTTTCGTTTATATCTGTACTTCAGTGCTAGCGTAGTTAATTGATATAGCGCATAAAGTTGTGATTGTTACACTCAAGAAGTGTGGGCTTTATGCATATGAGACAACACGAAGCAAGCATTTTGCAAAGTTTTTTAATTATATATTAAAATTCTACAGCTTTGACTGGATAAGTAACAAACATACAGTATGTCCCGAAAAAATAAAGATTCACAAATAGTGCTGACTATTCATAATCATCAATCAATCAAATATATAAAATGAATATTAACCAGGTATTTGAATTTATTTTGAATGAGCTATTTTCTTTATTTTAGAACACGTTTAAAATAACTTGTCAAGTTCAACATTTTTTAATATAAAATGAAGACGAATATGTTTTTCGGTGGGTATGTTATGACCATGTATGCTACCTCATAAGTATGAAGGAAAAGTTACTGTTTTTCCAACAACAAAATGTACCATAACTTTAAAGTTTTAAATATTTTACCAGGTAATTTGAGAGAAGGAACTAAAAATATAACTATCAGAAGTTGGCAGCCATGATATTTATCCAAACAGAACAGAGTTAAGATTATTTTGAAAAGGTGCTTTTCTGAATACTTGTTTTTATTCCAAATGTGTTACTTTATGTAAAAGATAATAATTCCAAAGGCGTGACTTTATATAAGAGATAAACATTCTAAATGTGTTGCCTTATATAAGAAATAATAATTCCAAGTGTTTACTTTATATAAGAAATAACAATCCCAAATGTGTGACTTTATAGGTGAATATCAATAAAAACATGATGGAATAATTGCAAAATATGTTACTTTATATAAGAGATAATGACATTCCTTTGAAACACCTAGATGGTACGAAAAAAGTAAAATCACAAAAATACTGAACTCCGAGGAAAATTCAAAACGGCAAGTCCCTAATCAAATGGCAAAATCAAAAGCTCAAACACATCAAACGAATGGATAACAACTGTCATATTCCTGACTTGGTACAGGTATTTTCTTATGTAGAAAATGGTGGATTAAACCTGGTTTTATAGCTAGCTAAACGAAAAGATCATTACCATGTGCTCGTATACATAGGTTTTCTGTTTGGATATTTTGCATAAATCTCAGCAAGTTGTCATCCTTTTACTCTGAAGATATTTCCACACAGAAACTGTTGCATTAATTGTTGAATTTTTTAAAGAAATTTGAAAAATATCCAGAGTTGACAATTGTTTCTGTGTGCATATTTTGTCATCAAAACCCGAAGGTAAAGGGAAAATTTCTAAAAAGGACGTTTCCATATGTTATTGCAACCACGCTTGGTTTAAATTTGTCGAGTAGATTGAGAGATGAAGAGAAAAAAATCCATGAGGACCTAAGGGTCATGTATGGCACATGGTCAATATGAAGGGAAAATACTGGTTTCCAAATTATCATTAATTTAAAGTTTGAAAGTAATTTGAGAAGAAAAAACCTAAACGTACACCTACCAGAAGCTAGCAGCCATGATATTAGTCCAATCAGAACAGAGTGAAGATCTTATATAAAGGAGCGGTTGTACATTGGTTCTACCGGGGGTTGTTTAGGGTCAAACATACACTATGTGGCGATATTGCCATCAATGTATACCATCAGACTAGGACGAAATGAAGAATATTTATTAAGTGTCACCCAATTATCGTTCCCATATATACATTAATCACAATATTCAACACAAATTACTCTACAGCCAAAACAACAAAAATGTGCTTTGAAGACTACAATATGTTTTAATAAGATGCTTAAATATCACAATGTTGTTGCTATACTATATTATCCGTTATATTTACTTATACATAGTTATTTCTCTTAAATGTGTGTGTCTTAAAACATTATATGTAAAATCACTGTGTAAGATGCAATTTAAAGCAGAACATGAAAACGCCTTCCTATCAGGTTGTGAAACAAATTTTGTTTGAAAAGTTGTTATTGTCAATAATTAAACAGGAATGATATAGCATCATTCAGAACTCATAATGTATATTCCGGTTGCATTGGTAAGCAGTGTTTCCTGATTTATCATTATTTTTTCCACTGTCATCAAACCTTTAAATAAATGCACCAGTAATTTCTGAATTTGCAGTATTCTTTATTCATATTCAAGATAAGAATAATGTTCAATGATGTAATAAAAAAGTTTACAAAGATAGGCACATA